GAGTGGTTAGAGTATCGAAGGGAGCATCAGTATGTATGCTGAAGTCCCCTAATAGGAGGGCAGAAGTTGTGGAAGAGAGAAAATTGTGAGCCACGTACCAAACCTATTTCAGAAAGAAGGGGATGTCTGTAGATAAGAGCTACCAGGATTTTGATGGGTAGCAGAGATGAAGAGTATGAACCCAAAAGAGGAGAGGTTACTGAGTGATGGAGGTAGGGAGGGAACCTAGAAGGTCAATAGGGACAAGAAGTATTCAGAACCCCCAACTTGATGAGGGAGCCAAGGGGAATGAATGAAGATACAGCCAATACTGGAAAGGGTGGGCAGGGAGGCTATGTCGCCATTAAGAAGTCAGGTTTCTGTAATAGACAGAAGATGGAAGGAGTGGGAAAAGAAAAGCAATTAGGAAGAAGGAAGTTTATTGCTTATGGAACAGGTATTCTGGAAGTAGAGGATGGGGTTTTTTTTTTTTTTTTGGCTAGGCCATGGGTCAAGTGACTTGCCTAGGTCACACAGCTAGTAAATGTTATGTATCTGAGGCCGCATTTGAACTCAGGTCCTCCTAAATCTAGGAGCAGTACTCTATCCACTGTGCCACCTAGCTGCCTCTGGAGGATGGTATTTGGTTGGAACTTTGGAGTGGGAGGGTCGAGAAGGACGAGAATAAGGAACTGGGGGGTTTGGATGATGACCCACAAGGATTCAGAATTACTAGGATGTGTAAGGTATGATGAGGTGTGAGAATGTTCCTCACTGAGTGGAAGGTGCTTCTCTTCTTCCCTAAGGATGATGCGGATCGGGCGAAAGACAAGGGCAGCATGAAATGGAAGGTACATGGTCAGATGGAAGGCCCTGTGCACTACTTCTCTCCTTTGGAGATGAGGCACAACAGGGTGAAGCAGCAGAAGAAAGTCCCACCAACTTTCCTCTTCCTCTTTCCTCCAGGGACAGGCACAGCAAGAGATGGAAGGCCTGATGAGGGTCAAAAGAAAAGTTGATCTTTTTGCACTAGAGGTTCTCCACATTCCAGCTGGGAGATCAGGCTGACAGCAGAAGGTGGGAGTCGCCTTGTACTGGCACAGATAGAACATGGCTTGCCCTTGTCACCTTCCCTCAGGGGACAAAGCTGGGAGGTCAGAGGAATTTAGACCATTCATGATTCCCCGGAATGAGGGAATTTGTTTTGTTTAACTAAGCATATTTGTTACAAGGAATTCATTGTTTGTTTCTATTTTTTCAATGGGTTGAGAGATGGGAGGAAGAGAAAATCGGTTTCTATTTTTTTTAATAAAGAAGAAGGATATTGCAGATGTACAATGTTGTGCACACTCTTCATGTAGTCACTGTATTAAGTTTTACTTCATTGTTTACTTTGTTACAAGAGACCCATCACAGAGTGGGGGTAATCCCAAATGTACTATAAAAACAAAACATCAATATAATTAAGAAAATAAAACTAAGAAAGAGTAAAGACATTGGTGGGGGCTTATGATTTATTGTTTTGAATGGCTGCGGATCCCAAGATTATCTAGAACCTGGAGTATCTTTTCTGGTGACCTTTCATGTAAGAGGAAGGACACAAGCATTTATGAAATACCTAGTATGTGCCAGGCACTGTGCTAAGTGTTTTACAATTATTATCACATTTTATCCTCACAGCAACCCTGGGAGGTAGGTGCTATTATTATCCCCATTTTACACTTAAGGAAACTGAGGCAGACAGAGGTGAAGTTACTTGCCTAGGGTCACACAGCAGGCTGTATCTGAGGCCAGGTTTGACTTTAGATCTTCCTCACTCCGGGCCCAGGGTTCTATCCACTGCGCTGCCACCATCTGCTAAGAAAGAAATAGAATGTTACTGACCCACAAGGAATGACAAACATGAAGAATTAATTCAGAGAAATATGGAAAATGACACAGAGGGAAGAAAGTGGAGCCAAAAGAACCATACCCACAATAACTGTAACAGTGTAAATAAAGTTGAAATGGGGAGGCAACAAAACTCAGGTCAATTGCAAAGGTCCATGGTAGTCAATGTCAATGTGAAGGACAGTACTTGGCACATTGATGCTATCCAGTCATTTCAGTCGTGTCTGACTCTTCGTTTGCCATTGCCTTATCCAGCTCCTTTTACAGATGAGGAAACTGAGGCAAAGTGAATTAAGTGACTTGCCCAGAGTCACACAGCTAGCAAGTGTCTGAAGACAGATTTGAACTCAGAAGGATGAAGTTTCCTGACTCCAGGACTGCCATTTTATTCACTGTGCCATCTAGTTACCCTCAAAGAGGAATACTAGACTAGAATTCTATCTCTCTGCAAATAACACAAACAGTGTTAGTCTAGGGAAAATGATTTATAAATTCAAGCTGCTTTCCTGGTCACTATCTCTGAATAGGGAAGGACTGCCTCAAGCTATATCTAGAGGCTTTACTTCCTACCCACCAAATGCCAGTTTTACAATGCCCATCACAGAGTGAATCTAGGGAATAAGCCCATTTATCCAGATTAATAGCAAACAGAAATCAGAGAAGTTCTACAGATTAGAATATACCACGCAATACACAGAATGACTGGGTCGTACCACTGGGTGCAATCCATCTGAACTCAACTGGAAGTGCCTGTCTCACCCAAGGAGACATTCACCAAAGTCTTTACTGCAGCAAGCTGAAAATCAGTGATATGTCATGGAGCTGGCTGCTCTATGTTTCTGCTTCTTCCCAAAATCTTTCTTTCCCTCCAAAGCACTCTGAATGAAAAGGGCCTAGAATCCTGATGAATCTTCTCTGAAGGCTGGAATCGAAGACAAGAATTTCTCCTCTCCCAAGCCCTTACCAACTTTGCCCCTCACAGATATGAAGAATCAAGTAATCATTCTTTCCACTAATGTTTAGACACAGAGGTTGGAACCTACGGCCTTGAAGCCACATATAACACTCTAGATCCTCAAGTGTGGCCCTTTGACTGAATCCAAACTTCACAGAACAAATCCAAAGAGCAGCTCTGTTGTCCCCACTCTTTCACTTATTTTCAACCGCTCCCTACTGACTCCTTCCCTACCACCTACAAACATGCCCTTGTCTTTCCCATCCTAAAATCAAAAACAAAAACAAAAAAACCCTCTATTGATCCTTCAGTCCCTTATAACTATCATCTTATATCTCCTTTGCCTTTATGGCCAAACCTCTTGAAAAGGCCATCTAGAATAGGAGCCTCCACTTTCACTGTTCTAACTCTTACAATTCTTAACCCCTTACAATCCTGCTCATGACCTCCCTATTCTACCAAAACTGCTCTCTCCAGTTATCAGTGATCTCCTAGTTGCCAAACCCAATAGCCTTTTCTCAATCCTCATTCTCCTTGACCTCTCTGCAGCCTTTGACACTCAGGATCATTTTCTCTTCCTTCATACCCTCTCCTCTCTAGGTTTTCAAGGTCTTCCTCTGACTGCTCCTTTTCAGGCTCCTTTACTGAATCCTCCTGCAGATCATGCCCTCTAACCATAGATGTCTCTCTGGGTTCTGTCCTGGACCTTCTTCTCTTCTCCCTCTATACTACTTCACTTGGTGATCTCATCAACTCCCATAGGTTTAATTATCATCTCTATGCTGATGATTCCCAAATCTACCTTGCCTGCCCCAACCTTCTGCTGATCTCCAGCCTTGTATTTCCAACTGCCTTTCAGATATCTCAAACTGGATGTCCAATAGATACCTGACTCAACACGTCCAAAACTGAACTCATTGTCTTTCCCTTTATACCATTTCCCACTCCTAGTTGCCCACAATCTACAAGTCATTTTGGACTCCTCACAATCTCTCACTCCCCATATTCAAGTCTTTGCCAAAGCATGATAATTTCACCTTTGCAATATCTCTCCTACTCCTCTTCTTGTCTGTGACACTGTCACCACCCTGGTGAAAGCCCACATCACCTCACACCTGGATTATTCCAATAGCCTGCAGGTAGGTCTGGAGCCTCTGAAGTGTGCTCAAATCTCTCTCCACTCCAATCTATCGTCCATTCAGCCATTAAAATGATTTTCCTACAACAAAGGTCCAACCTTGTCACCCCCCCCCACTCAAAAAACTCCAGTGACTCCCAGTTGCCAGCAGGATCAAATACAAAATGCTCTACTTGGCATTCAAAGCCCTTCATGACCTGGCCCCTTCTTCCCTTTCCAATTTTCTTACACCTTACTCCCCACCAACTATTCTTCCATCTTCCTGCCTCTTCCACAAACAAGACCCTCCATCTCTCAGCTCTGGGCATTCTCTCTGGCTGTCCCCCATTCCTGGAACGCTCTTCCTCCTCCACTGACCACTGACCTCCCTGGCTTCCTTCAAGTCCCAGACAAAATCCCACCTCCTATAGGAAGCCTTCCCCAGTCCCACTTAATTCCAGTGCCTTCCCTCTGTCAACTGTCTTCTGCTCATCTTGTACTCAGCTTCCTTTCTAGGTACTTATTTGCATATCGTCTCCCTCATTAGATTCATTCACTCAGTAAACATTTATTAAGTATATCCTATGGGCAGGGCACCTTGCTATGCACTGTGAGCCCCTTAAGGGCATGGATTGTCTTTTGCCTCTGTTTGTACCCCCAGCGCTTAGCACACTGTCTAGCACACACCCGGCACTTTATAAAAGAGGACTGGTGGACTGATGGACGTTCCCCTCAGCCTCACGCCCAGCACGTGCCCCCACAACTCAACCCCGCCCCTTTCCCTTCATCCCCGCCCCTACAGCCTCGCTCTGGTCTTTGCTCCGCCCTCCTTCAGCCTCCCTAGGCTACTATCCCTCACTTCTCCTTTTCCTCCAGCCCCGCCCCCACAGCAGTCTCGCACTGCCTCTTTCCTCGTTCTGGCGGGGCCATGCTCTGCCCCTTCCCCTCGGCCCGCCCCGGACCTCAGCCTCGCTCCGGTGGGGCAGCCCCTGCCTCGGCTCCGCAGCCTCGGGTTCTCTCTCCCGTCTCGTGCCTGCAGTAAACGGAGGAGTTGCTGCTTTCTCCTGGGGTCCAGAGCGTGGCCCTGCGGACCCCGGCCGGGGCCAACCCTCGGTACCGCGCCGGAGCCGCGCGCCGCCTTACAGGGGGCTTCATAATAGCCTGAGCCGGGAGCTGAGGCCTCCAGTCTTGAAATATGCCAAACGGTCACTGTGGAATACGCCCTGCTACGGCGGCTGTGAAGAGCCAAAAAGGGCCAACGAGGCGGCTGTGGCAGTTTCTCTTTTCCTCTGTGTGTTTAGATATGCCTGTGCCCCAGGGGAGGAGGAGAAGAAATAAGCTACGCCCCAGCTGAAAAACCAATTCTTTACTGAAAGGCATGAAATTTAATGCTGCATCTGGACTGTAACTTCTGCAAGATCTGAGCTCAGTTGTAACGGACGATTGTGACAGGCAAATGTCTGTTTGTAAGGAAGCAGCCTCCTCAAACACTTGAAAATCTCTTCTGTCCAAGGCTTCGGGCTGCCCATTGCCTGATAGCTTGTTTGTAAGTAGTTATTAGTATGATATGTTCCCCATTAGGTTGTAATCTCCTTGAGGCAGAGACTGTCTTTCTTTTCTTTGTATCCCTACCACTTACCCCACTGCCTGGCCGTAAATGTGCCAGTCACCAAACATTTGTTAAGCTCCTACCACATGCTAGTCACTGTGCTAAGCTCTGGGGATACAGAGGCAAAAGACAGCCCCTGCCCTCCAGGAGCTTACAACCTAATGGAGACAACAAGCAAACAAATATGTACTAAGAAGCTCTGTGCAGAATAAGCAGGACATAATTAACAGAGGGAAGGCACTAAAGTTAAGAGACTGGGAAAGGCTTCCTGTAAAAGATGAGATTTTGGTTGGCACTTAAAAGGAAGCCAGGGAGGCTAGTAAGGTGGAGTGGAGGAAGGACATCCTTTGCAGGGATCGGCACAGCAGAGAAAATGCCTGTAATTGGGAGGTGGAGGGTCTGGTGGGTGGACCACCCAGGAAAATGGTATAGTTATCAGGGACTGAAGGATCGAGGTTTTTTAGTTTTAGTTTTTTGTTTTTAGGATGGGAAAAACAAAGGCATGTTTGTAGGCAGTAGGGAAGGAGTCAGGAGGGAGTGGTTGAAAATAAGTGAAAGAGTGGGGACAACAGAGCCGCTCTTTGGAGTTGTTCTTCAAGTTTGGGTTCAGTGAAAGGGCTGCACTTGAGGATCTAGAGGGTTACATGTGGCTTCAAGGCCATAGCTTCCCCACCTCTGTGTGTAAACATTAGTGGAAAGAATGATTACTTGGTTCTCCGTATCTGTGAGGGGCAAAGTTGGTAAGGGCTTGGGAGAGCAGAAATTCTTGTCTTCTATTCCAGCCTTGAGAGAGGATTCATCAGGACTCCAGGCCCTTTTCATTCAGAGTGCTTTGGAGGGAAAGAAAGATTTGGGGAAGAAGGAGCAACGAAGAGCAGGCGGCTCCATGACATATCACTGATTTTCAGCTTGCTGCAATAAAGACTTTGGTGACTTTCTACCTGGGTAAGATAGTTGAGATGGATTGCTCCCAGTGGTAGGACCCATTCATTCTATGTATTTACTGGTATATTCTAATGTGTAGAATTTCTCTAATTTCTGTTTGCTATTGATCTGGATAAATGGGCTTATTCCCTAGATTCACTCTGTGATGGGCATTGTAAAACTGGCATTTGGTGGGTAGGAAGTAAAGCCTCTAGATATAGCTTGAGGCAGTCCTTCCCTATTCAGAGATAGTGACCAGGAAAGCAGCTTGAATTTATAAACCATTTTCCCTAGACTAACACTGTTTGTGTTATTTGCAGAGAGATAGAATTCTAGTCTAGTATTCCTCTTTGAGGGTAACTAGATGGCACAGTGAATAAAATGGCAGTCCTGGAGTCAGGAAGCTTCATCCTTCTGAGTTCAAATCTGTCTTCAGACACTTGCTAGCTGTGTGACTCTGGGCAAGTCACTTAACTCACTTTGCCTCAGTTTCCTCATCTGTAAAAGGAGCTGGATAAGGCAATGGCAAACGAAGAGTCAGACACGACTGAAATGACTGGACAGCAACAGTGTGCCAAGTACTGTCCGTCACGTTGACATTGACTACCATGGACCTTTGCAATTGACCTGAGTTTTGTTGCCTCTCCATTTCAACTTTATTTACACTGTTACAGTTATTGTGGGTATGGTTCTTTTGGCTCCACTTTCTTCCCTCTGTGTCATTTTCCATATTTCTCTGAATTAATTCTTCATGTTTGTCATTCCTTGTGGGTCAGTAACATTCTATTTCTTTCTTAGCAGATGGTGGCAGCGCAGTGGACAGAACCCTGGGCCCGGAGTGAGGAAGATCTAAAGTCAAACCTGGCCTCAGATACAGCCTGCTGTGTGACCCTAGGCAAGTAACTTCACCTCTGTCTGCCTCAGTTTCCTTAAGTGTAAAATGGGGATAATAATAGCACCTACCTCCCAGGGTTGCTGTGAGGATAAAATGTGATAATAATTGTAAAACACTTAGCACAGTGCCTGGCACATACTAGGTATTTCATAAATGCTTGTGTCCTTCCTCTTACATGAAAGGTCACCAGAAAAGATACTCCAGGTTCTAGATAATCTTGGGATCCGCAGCCATTCAAAACAATAAATCATAAGCCCCCACCAATGTCTTTACTCTTTCTTAGTTTTATTTTCTTAATTATATTGATGTTTTGTTTTTATAGTACATTTGGGATTACCCCCACTCTGTGATGGGTCTCTTGTAACAAAGTAAACAATGAAGTAAAACTTAATACAGTGACTACATGAAGAGTGTGCACAACATTGTACATCTGCAATATCCTTCTTTATTAAAAAAAATAGAAACCGATTTTCTCTTCCTCCCATCTCTCAACCCATTGAAAAAATAGAAACAAACAATGAATTCCTTGTAACAAATATGCTTAGTTAAACAAAACAAATTCCCTCATTCCGGGGAATCATGAATGGTCTAAATTTTCCTCTGACCTCCCAGCTTTGTGTCCCCTGAGGGAAGGTGACAAGGGCAAGCCATGTTCTATCTGTGCCAGTACAAGGCGACTCCCACCTTCTGCTGTCAGCCTGATCTCCCAGCTGGAATGTGGAGAACCTCTAGTGCAAAAAGATCAACTTTTCTTTTGACCCTCATCAGGCCTTCCATCTCTTGCTGTGCCTGTCCCTGGAGGAAAGAGGAAGAGGAAAGTTGGTGGGACTTTCTTCTGCTGCTTCACCCTGTTGTGCCTCATCTCCAAAGGAGAGAAGTAGTGCACAGGGCCTTCCATCTGACCATGTACCTTCCATTTCATGCTGCCCTTGTCTTTCGCCCGATCCGCATCATCCTTAGGGAAGAAGAGAAGCACCTTCCACTCAGTGAGGAACATTCTCACACCTCATCATACCTTACACATCCTAGTAATTCTGAATCCTTGTGGGTCATCATCCAAACCCCCCAGTTCCTTATTCTCGTCCTTCTCGACCCTCCCACTCCAAAGTTCCAACCAAATACCATCCTCCAGAGGCAGCTAGGTGGCACAGTGGATAGAGTACTGCTCCTAGATTTAGGAGGACCTGAGTTCAAATGCGGCCTCAGATACATAACATTTACTAGCTGTGTGACCTAGGCAAGTCACTTGACCCCATGGCCTAGCCAAAAAGAAAAACAAAAAACCCCATCCTCTACTTCCAGAATACCTGTTCCATAAGCAATAAACTTCCTTCTTCCTAATTGCTTTTCTTTTCCCACTCCTTCCATCTTCTGTCTATTACAGAAACCTGACTTCTTAATGGCGACATAGCCTCCCTGCCCACCCTTTCCAGTATTGGCTGTATCTTCATTCATTCCCCTTGGCTCCCTCATCAAGTTGGGGGTTCTGGAATACTTCTTGCTCCCTATTGACCTTTCTAGGTTCCCTCCCTACCTCCATCACTCAGTAACCTCTCCTCTTTTGGGGTTCATACTCTTCATCTCTGCTACCCGATCAAAATCCTGGTAGCTCTTATCTACAGACATCCCCTTCTTTCTGAAATAGGTTTGGTACGTGGCTCACAATTTTCTCTCTTCCACAACTTCTGCCCTCCTATTAGGGGACTTCAGCATACATACTGATGCTCCCTTCGATACTCTAACCACTCAGTTCCTCAACCTACTCACGTCCCATGAGCTACTCCACCCTACTTCAGCCACACACAAAAAATAATCTTACCCCTGATCTTGCCATCACCCAAAAATGCACCACCACTGTGTTTTAGAATCTCCTTATCTGATCATGATCTATTCATTTTCCACCTCTTCCTCTGTCTTCTTTTCTTAAATCCTGTTCTTTGTCCATACTGTGACCTTCAATCCCTTGACACCTCAGTTGTATCCTAGACCATCTTTCCTGTACAAGCCACTCTCTCTTCCTTTGCTCATCTTCACCTCTTGGTGAACCAATTCAACTCCACATTGTCCTCATCTCTTCAGTCCTTAGCCCCCTTATCATTTCAACAATTGTGAAAGGCCCAACCTTGGATCATTCTCATCATCCACCAATTTTCACCTTTACTTCTACACACGTGTTGCTTAATGAAGGTGGAGAAAATCATCACAACCATTCTGACTGGGTCCAGGACACATTTATGTTACATAACCTTGACTGGGCTCTCCCTGGTTTTAGGCAATCCTACTATACCTTCCTTATCAACTCACTATCCCACTCTCCACAACAACTCTTCCAAACCTTTTCATCCTCCTTCCCCCTTCTTAGCTGAGAACCTTGTCTCATATTTTATAGAAAAAATTGAGGCCATTCACTGAGAGCTCCTTCTTCTTCTCTCTTCCTTATTTTCTATCACTCAGGTACCTTGACGTCACGTTCTTCTCCTTCACCCTTGTCCTGCATGATGAAGTGGCCTTGCTCCTTACCAAAGCTAACCCCTCTACTTGTTCAAGAGATCTCATTCCATCCTGTCTCCAACAGATTGCTACCTCTGTCAATTCCCACTCATTCATTTATTTTCTCATTCCCTACTGCTAGCAAACACGTCCAGGTCTCTCCCATTTTGAACAAAAAAAACCCCTCACTGGATCCTTCCATTCCTGCTAATTAACATCCTGTTTCTCTTCTGCCCTTTGTGTCTAAACTCCTTGAGAAGGCCATCTACAAGAGGAGCGTCCAGTTTCTCTCCTTTTACTTTCCTTTTAACCCCTTACAATCCTGCTTATGACCTCATCATCCTATCAGAGCTGCTTTCTCCAGAGTTACTGATGGTCTTTTAATTGCCAAGCTCAATGGCCTTTTCTCAGTCCTTATTCTCCTTGACCTCTCTGCAGCCTTTGACACTGTTAATCGTTCTCTCTTTCCTAATATTCTCTTTTCTCTAGGTTTTTGGGACACCACTCTCTCTTGATTCTCTTCCTAAATATCTGACCTTTTCAGTCCTCTTTGTTGGATCCTCTCTAGTCCACACCGTCTAAACTGACCTCCAATCTTGAATGTCCAGTTGCCTGTCAGACAGCTCAACCTAGATGTCCAGTAGATATATTGAACATGTGTAGAACAGAACTCATTATTCCACACCCCGAACCTTCCCCGTCTCCACAACCTTCCCTATTAGTATAGAACAGTGGGGTCAAATTCATACCAGGCCATAATGGTACATAACGATCCTTGCATGTTGCCTATTGATCTAGAAAACCAAATATTAATAGTTATCATGTTTTGTTGTTTTAAAATTTACTTTGTTGGGGTGTAGCCAAGATGGCAGAGTGACAGCAGTGACTTGCTTGAGCTCTCCTCCAAATCCCTCCAAATACTCATAAAAAAAATGGTTCTAAACAAATTCTGAAGCAGCAGAACCCACAAAAAGACAGAGTGAAACGAATTTCTAGCCCAAGACAACCTGGATGATTGATCAGAAAGGTGTATCACGCCTGGCTGGGAGCACAACGCAGCATGGCGTGGGCGCGCATGCCACAGCGAACCTGGAGCAGGCCTCAGAGGGCTGAATCTCAGGCAGCTGTGGAGGTTTCCAGACTCAATCCACCAATGCCAAAGACAACTTAGAAGGTCAGTGGGAAAAGTCTGTTCCTGTCACTGCTGAGAAAGGAAGGCGGGGTTTCAGCTCCCATTCCCCAAGAGCATGTCCCGGGGGAGGGGGGGCAGCTGCTTCCTGAGCTTCCAGCCCACAGACTTAGGGGCAATCCAGTGGCTGATCAGAGAGGGATTGCAGGGATCTCTTTGCCAGTGCCGAGGCAGGAATCTCTTGCTTTGCCTGTGTTTGGATCTGGGTCACAGTTCTGGGCGGCGGTGCTGGGTTGAGGAGGAGTTCTGGTGTGGTGGAGCTTGTAGTGGCTGTGGAGAGAAACCCCTCCTCACAGTTACGGGACAGAAAGGAGTACTTGTAGTCACAGGCCAGAAAAGGAGTAAACACCTCGCCCCTTATCATACCACCTTGGAAGAACTGAAAATTTACAGGTCCCTACAAGTATCTCTGAAAACAGCTGTACAAACCCCGAAGCTTGGACAGTACATTCTCCACATTGGAAGCAGATTCGTACCTTAACAAAGAGTTTAAAACTCAAGTAATTGGTTGGGATCATGAGCAAGCAGCGCAAAAAGAGTCAGACTATATTATCTTACTTTGGTGAAAAAGAAGATCAAAATATACAACCAGAAGAAGACAACAAAGTCAAAGCTCCTACATCCAAAGCCTCCAAGAAAAATATGAATCAGTCCCAGGCCTTGGAAGAGCTCAAAAGGGATCTTGAGAAGCAAGTAAGGGAAGTAGAGGAAAAACTGAGAGTGATGCAAGAAAATCATGAAAAAACAAGTCAACAAGGAGACCCCAAAAAATACTGAAGAAAATAACACCTTAAAAAATAGCCTAACCCAAATGGCAAAAGAGGTCCAAAAAGCCAATGAGGAGAAGAATGCCCTAAAAAGCAAAATTGGCCAAATGGAAAAGGAAGTCCAAAAGCTTACTGAAGAAAATACTTCCTTAAAAATTAGAATAGAGCAATTGGAAGATAGTGACTTTATGAGAAATCACGACACAGTAGAACAAATCCAAAAGAATGAAAAATTAGAAAACAATGTGAAATATCTCATTGGAAAAACAACTGACCTGGAAAATAGATCCAGGAGAGAGAATTTAAAAATTATTGGACTATCTGAAAGCCATGATCAAAAAAGAGCCTAGACATCATCTTTCAAGAAATTATCAAGGAAAACTGCCCTGATATATTAGAACCAGAGGGCAAAATAGAAATTGAAAGAATCCACAGATCTCCTCCTGAAAGAGATCCCCAAAGGAAAACTCCTAGGAATATTATAGCCAAATTCCAGAGTTCCCAGGTCAAGGAGAAAATATTACAAGCTGCCAGAAGGAAACAGTTCAAGTACTGTGGAAACACAATCAGGATAACACAAGATTTAGCAGCTTCTACATTAAAGGACCCCAGGGCATGGAATATAATATTCTGGAGGGCAAAGGAGATAGGATTACAACCAAGAATCACCTACCCAGCAAAACTGAGTATAATCCTTCAGGGGAAAAAATGGTCATTCAGTGAAATAGAGGACTTTCAAGCATTCTTGATGAAAAGACCAGAGCTGAATAGAAAATTTGACTTTCAAATACAGGACTCAAGTGGAACATGAAGAGGTAAACAGGAAAGAGAAATCATAAGAGACTTATTAAGATTGAACTGTTTACATTCCTGCATGGAAAGATGATATTTATAACTCATGAGACCTTTGTCAGTATTAGGGTAGTTGGAGGAAAAAAATTATATGTATGTATATATAGATAGATAGATAGAGGGCACAGGGTGAGTTGAAGATTAAGGGGTCATATCTGGAGAATAAAATTAAGGGATGAGAGAGGATTATATAGGAAAGAAAAAGGGAGAGGTAGAATGGGGTAAATTATCTCACAAAAAAAAAACAGAAAAGAAAAGTCTCTTACAGTGGAGGGGAAACGGGGAAGGTGAGAGGGAATGAGTGAATCTTATTCTCATAGGATTTGGCTTAAGGAGGGAATAACATACACATTCAATTGGGTATGGAAATCTGTCTTACCCTACAGGAAAATAGGGGGAGAAGGGGACAAGAGAGCAGGGGATGATAGAGAGGAGGGCAGATTGGGAAAGGGGTAATCAGAAGTAAATACTTCTGAGGAGGACAGGGTCAAAAGAAAGAATAGAATAAATGGGAGGGCAGGATAGGATTAAGGGAAATAGAGTTAGTTTTTCACAACATGTCTCCTATGGACGTGTTTTGCATAACTTCACATGTACAACCTATATTGAGTTGCTTGCCTTTTCAGTGAGGGTGGGTAGGGAGGGAGGAACAGAGAA